ATGGGGTCAGGGCAAGTAATGTCCCTCCCTGAGGATCTGGCAGGTCCTGAGCCAGGATCTTGTAGCTGATGCCCCCCCACCCCTGCAGTCTTGCGTCAGTCAGGTTCTTCCAACCTGTTGGAACAAACACGGCCTGGTTGCTATGGTGATCATAATGGCTTTGGGGTGAAGAGATGAGACTCAGCAGCTGCTGTAAACAGGAAGTAAGGAGGGGCAGCTGCCAAGAGAGGGAGCCCCTGCTTGAACCCCCATCCCATGCCCAAGGGGAGCCAAGGGGCTGGGGACCAGTGCCACTCCGAAGATGCACCAGCCCCCCAAGAGTAACACCGCAGAGGGCCCCTGGAGACCTCAGCACTCTGTTTTGCAGGTGGGGAAACTGAGGCCCAGAGAGGGAAAGGGTTTTTCCAGGCAACAGGCTAGGTACCAAGCCCAACTCTGGGGCCTCAGTTTCCCTTGGAAGGCATAACCTTCAGATCCTTCCCTCCCCATTTCCTGGGGGCGGAGTGATGGTCCCATTGGCGCCAGCCCCTTCAGTGTCTCCCGACTTGTCCTGAGGCTGAAGTCAGGCCCTCCTGGGTCATAGTCCTGCCCTGTTGCCCTCCTCCGGCACCTTGGGCCTTTGCTTTCCTCATTTGTCAACAGAAACAGCAGCAGCGGAGCCCAGCCCTCAGCAGGGGGTGGGGGCCGTCCTGGCGAGTAGGAGCAAGTGCTGGTTGAGTCAGTGGCAGCTCCTCCACTGCGAGGGAGAGGAAGTGGGGGCTGTCACCGGGGACCCTCCAGGGGCCTCGGCGGGGGGGCTCTTTCCTTTGGGGACTGCTTTGGCCTCAGCAGGTTGGAAGTGTAAGCTCGTCCTCCTGTGACCCCACAGGAGGCAGAGGGCAGGGAGGGCACCCCTGGCCCCAGACCTCAGGCTGAAGGATCTACCCGGCCCCAGACCCCCAACAGCACTCTGAGCTTGAGGCGCAGTGAGAGGGCAGCTTGGGGCGTGCAGGGGCGTCAGGGCACAGGACACCCTGCCTGAAGGGGTCAGGGCTTGGCGGGGCCCCTGGGGACGTGGGTTTACCCTCAGGCTTCGGGCTGGACAGGGTCTGGCAGGCAGCGGGAGGGGCTTTTCCTCCTTAGGGCCAGGAGAAAAGCACCAGGCTCTGGGTCGCCACTCTGATGGCTGCTGATGGGCAGGGACAGGGGGCTGCAGAGGTGAGGGGCATCCTGTGAGGCCAGGGCACCGCCGTCATTAAAAAAAGGTATTGATTTGGCTGCCCTAGGTCTTAGTTGCCACATGCGGGATGTTCCATCTTCCTTGCGGCACGTGGAATCTTTAAGTGCGGCATGCAAACTCAGTTGTGGCAAGTGGGATGATCTAGTTTCCTGACCAGGGATCAAACCCAGGCTCCCTGCAAGGAGAGCTGGGAGTCTTGGCCACAGGAAGTCCCCTGCCATGTGTTTAATAAGGCATGAATCCCGCCCTCTGGGGTCAGCCCCTGGAATTGCAGGCACAGCTCCCAGCACTCTGACCCCCACACCAGTGGAAGGACTGTGGCAGGCAAAGTGGGGAGGGAGGTGGACCCCAGGGAACTCCTGGGCACATGGCCAAGGGGTTCAGCCAGGGTCCCTGCCTGCCCGGAGCTGGAGGACCCTGAGGGAGTGCAGGAGTCTGGCCTGGGTCGTGGTTCTGCCGGCAGAGGCGGCAGCTCCGGGTGGGTGAGGGTCTGGCCCAGGTGTGGCCCCTGGCCTGGGGCACGTAGCAGAAGCCCCTCGTGTGTGTGGTGGGGGGAGGGGTCCTGCACCTGTGCAGGGCTGGGGCTACGGGGCCTTGGGCCCGAGGTCTCCGTGGGGCTGCAGGGGGCACAGAGCAGGCCCCCAGTCAGGACGTGCGGGTGTCCATGAGGCTGGGCTGCAGGCTGGGAGTGGGCCAGGCACCTGCTTCTCTGAACACACCCCTCTGCACACGGGAGGTGGAGGCACTTATACTGGCTCTGGGGCCCCCGGTTCTCTCCTCAGGCAAGAAAGACTGCCTTGGGACAGGTCACCTGTAAGAGGCCTGGGGAGGAAGGACCCAGGCCTGGGCCCTGCGAGTATTTTTACTGCTCCCTTATTACTTTCTAAGTGTGTTAGTCGCTCAGTCGTGTCCAGCTCTTTGCGACCCCATGGATTGTAGCCCACCAGGCTCCTGTTCCAGAATTCTCCAGGCAAGAACACTGGAGTGGGCAGCCATTCCCTTCTCCAGGGGATCTTCCCGACCCAGGGATTGAACCAGGGTCTCCCACATTGTGGCAGATTCTTTACCATCTGAACCACCCAGTTTCCCGACTGATGCCTGAGATTTCCGGCCAGGTGGCAAAGCCCATGTGTCTGAGAACTTGGGGTGGAGGGGGCCCAGTGCTCCCGCCCCTCTGCCTGGCCCACAGCCTCTGCACACGGGACCACGGTAGTCTGGAGGCCTCCAGATGAACCTCCTGAATCACTGGGGCAGGACACCCCCAGACCGCACCAGTGTCACCTGGGGACAGACCTGGACCAGCACTCTTTGGGCTTCTCCCTGCTGGAGCTGGCTGAGACCAGTTCGAGCCAGCCCAAGTCAGTGTTCAGGCCCTCCAACCTGGCAACTCATCGTCATGGCAACCCCAAGCGGGGAGGCAGGGCCTGGTGCATGGTGGGAGGGCCTTGGGCTGCTGGGTCAGGGAGCAGGTGGGCAGGCACGAGGATGCGGTCCTGGCTCGGCAAGGAGAGTCCAGGGAGATCAGGGGGCCCCAAGAACCCAGAGCCCAGCCAGAAGCCACGGGGGCTCCGCGAACAGGGCTTCCTGGGGTAGCAGTGTCCAGCCTGGCCTGTGGTCAAGTTCTCCTGGAAGCCCCGACGTGGGTCCCTTGCTCGGCACCTGTGTAACAGCCTGCCCTGAGCCTGTCCTGGACACTCTGAGGACTCACACATGCCTTAGCACCCTGGGACGGCGTCCCGGCTCCCTGGGGAGGGCCACCCTGGTGGTGGAAACAGCCCCACGTGGGAGGGACCTGCTCCAGCAGGTGAGACACGGGGGACAGGGCCGGGGTCAGCACCGGACGTGGGCCGCCTGGGCTGCTGGTGCTCTAACCTCAAGCTACACACTCGACCTTGGCTCTAGGGAATGTTGCCCCCTGCCACCTTGGGTTGCAGGGCGTCTGATGCTGGAGGCCGAGGCAGGAGGGACCCGCCAGCCTGGCTCCCTGGGAGAGGGCGGCAGTGAGTGGGGTGTCTGTGCAGGCAGGCAGGAAAGGACACCAGCAGGCGGCGGTTATCGGAAACGTTTTAATCAGAGGATTTTAGATACAGCCCACAGTTCCTTACACGTTACGAGGCGCCTCATGCTGGGGACACCCTTCCCTTACAGTAGAGACAGGGTGGTCACATTTCATAGTTCCTGTTACAAGATTCACGTCTTTGTTAAGCCAAGGCCTGCGGCACAAAAGGACATTTTGTTAGCCAAAGTCACGATGATTTGCTAGAAACACTGATTACCTTAGAATGCTCTAACTAGAAAATAGATTGAATTTCCATATATATTAACCATATACACGGGTAACTATTATGAAGAATAGTTCAGTCGTTACAAAATAAGACGTTCTATGAGAAGTTACAGATACACAGCCTGTGGACCCCCCAAGGCCCTCTGTGCCTATATATCGTGGGTGTCAGCTGCTCACACGAGTCCAGCCGGCAAGAGGGCGAGCCACGCAGGCCCCAGCTTCTAGCACGGTCCTGTCGCTGGGTGGTGGGTCCCCAAGTGGCGCTTGGCCCCACCTGGCTCCCTGACGGTGCGAGGTGACCAGTCCTCCTTGGGCTCCTGGAGCGTCACCTGCCCTCAGCCTGTGGGCAGAACCACAGGCACCGCTCCGCTAGTGAGGGTGAGGGTCTGTGGGGAGGAAGGACAGCCTGACCCCGGGCCTCGTCGGGACCCGGGGGCCAGGTCCCCGCCCTGGCGGTTCTGGGGTGCAGGACCTGGGCCCAAGCCCGCCTGCCTTGTCCTGTCTCCATCTCAGGACCCGAGTGGGGCCGGACGTGCTGCTGACAGCATCCAGGAGCCTCCTGAGGAGCGGCCTCAGGTGCAGACGCTTCTGCAACAGGGAGGGGCCTGCTGTCAGGCTCGCCTGCGCTCACAGGGCAGGGGCGGGGGGTGTGGGGCTCTGCTCACCTGCAGTCTGGGCCCCACTGCTGGCCGGCCGCCCTCAGCCATGCGCCGACACTGGGGGTGAGCCGCCTGGACTGCAGTCCTCCCGCCTGCCCGGCCTGGGTCAGCATCTCCTGCTCCTGACGCCTGGGCCTGCGGGCTTGAAAAGTGTCTGGATGCCAGATCCCGCCTGACCAGACCTGATCCTCCAGCGCCCACAGCCCCGAGCCTGGCGTGGCGGGGAGAGAATGCAGGGCACTGTTTACAGAGGATGAGGCTGGGGGCACACGGAGGCCACCTCCTCACTTTTAATGATGATAATGCAACAAGAACCTTTATATAAACAGTTTATTTACTCTAAACAGCAACACAGACAAACGCCATATAAACACAAAGGAAGTGATGCGGAAACGCGACGCTGGCTGGCTGGGGCTCTGGGGCTCTGGGGGCGGGCGGCTCTGCTTTCCGGCGACGTGCGGCCAGCGGGAGGCTAAGTGCAGCTCTGGGCGGCGTGGAGCATGCCTGCGTCCGTGAGCGAAGGGAACGCGCTCCTCAGGACTCATCCAAGTATAAAAGTTTATAATTTTACAGCAGTTGAAATACTGACATCAATATTAAAATAAAAGCAAGTTTTACATAACAATCAAAAATACAAAAGACTGAAGGAAGAGACCCTGTATGAAAAACTGGGCAATTCAGCGAGTCGAGACTGTACCAGTGGCGGAAATGGAAAATGGCGCCCGCCCACCCTCCCCAGGTGACCAGTAACTGTAGAGCAACGTTAGATTTGCAAAAATGTTGTAAACAAGTTCTTGCCAAACCAATCCCTTCCTTTTACGATGCCACAGGTCGCTGCTTATGAGGGAGCAAACTTCTTGGCTTGTGCTCGAACCCTTTTCTCGTATTCCACTCTGTTTTGGCTGAGGAGGTCAAAAGAGAGACATGTTAGAAGGTACAGCCGCCGCCCGAGCCACAGCGGGAACCTGGGGCAGCCCGCGGGCTCGCCGGTCACCAGGGAGCAGCAGCTCCTTTGTCTCTGAGGTAGCCTACACCACCCTGGTCAGTGGAGGAGACAGAGCGTCCGTACACCTGCCTCAAAACCAGACAAACCCTGGGGGTCTGCCCCTGGCTCTCAGCGCTGTGCGTGCGTACAGCGGCAAGCAGGACCCGTACTGGGACTCCAGGAGAGAACCGCCACTGACGAAAGGGGTGCTGTGCCCCAGGGAAGAGACGACACTCACGACAGAGGCTCGTCGGGGGTGGGCACACAGGGGTGTGAGAGAAAGGAAGCCAGGGCCCCCCAAGCTGTGCTCTCAACAAGCATGGCCCCTCAGCATGATGACCTCAGCCTGAGGCCTAGTGGTCACCTCCGGCCAGGTGTGGGGTGGCAGCAGCTGCCCCGCTGAGTCCTGGCACCCTGCCTGCAGCCTCCCTAGGGAACGACTGCAGCACCCGCAACAGGGAGCTCGAGCTGCCCCTCAAGTCAGGAGCCTGCAGCAGGCTGAGTGCGCCCGAGGGGACGTGGGTGTGAGGGCCAGCACTGGCCACGCCACTGGGGAGACCTCGGGCGCGGATGCTGCGGAGCAGTGTCCCCACAGCACCCGGCCACACACCGCCACCAGCACGGAAACTCAGGAAAGCCGGCCTGAGGCACTGCTCCGAGCTCACGGTCATAGGAGACTCCAACTTCGCGGGCCACATTCCTGCCGTAGGGCTCAGCTCGGGTGCCTACCCACTGGCCTTACCTACAAATGGTGCAGAACTCGGCACCCAGCCCGGGGTCAGGCAAAAGTCACTGTACACCTAACCTGGCAGTGAGAACATGCTCGCTAGAACCATAAGCGATGCTCCCAACAGGGGCCTGAGGAGGCAGGGAGACTGAAGGCTGAAGGCGAGCAGGCCGGGGGCTCAGGGACTGGACCTCTGCCCTGCCGGGGGGGGAGGGCGCACACCATACTGCCCTTGGCCAACACTGGGCCCTGCCCAGGGACCTGAGCCACTCTGGGCAATCACCTTGGTGCTTCTCTTGGGGGAGTTGGGCGGCTGGGGTGCTGGCCGCTCAGCGGGGACTGAGGACAGCCCCAGCCTCAGCTTTGCCCCCTCCCCATGCTCTCCAGGAAGGATGGGCCCTGGGTGCCAGGCCATCATGGCACCTGGGAAGGCTGCTTCCCAACGCCATCACCCCAGGGCTCCTCCCTCAGTGCCGACCGTGGACACAGGCTCCGAGGGACACAGAGCGAAGGGCTGGGTGTGAAGCAGATGCCTGGCTTTGTCCCCTACTGCCGCCCCTGCCCCCTGGTGGGACAGGGAAGAGGGACTGGGAGACCAGGGGGCAGCAGCAAGGCCAAGGCGGGAGGCTGGGGTCCCTGTTTGAGTGGGCCACTGGCCACCCCTCCTCCAGGGCCCACACGCAAAGGAACGTTCCCAATGAGCTGGACCAGGGTCAGAGGCACAGGGCCAGCCAGGGCTCAGACACAAAGTGGTAAGCCCCCGAGCTCTGCCTCCTGACACCCCATCACCCGCCCCCCGCCCCCCACCAGGGGTGGCCTAGACTGGCCTTCAGGGAGGCCAAGGAGAGGGCGCAGCGAATGAGTGGGTCACTACTGACCAGTAGATCGTGTAGGCCTCTGCTTGAGCTGGGTCTTGGATATTTGGTTCATTTAGAAGTTCCTGTATTCCTAATAAGATCTGCACGAGAGAGAACACAGCGCTGGGAAAGGCACGCTCTGCGACCGCGGTCTGGGCTCCACTGGGGAGGGCCGGGGCAGACACGTACCTGCTTGATGGTGATGGCTGGCCGCCAGTCCTTGTCCTCCTCCAGGATGGACAGGCACACCGTGCCCGAGGGGTACACGTTTGGGTGGAACAGCGGCGGTTCAAACTTGCCTGGAGCACAGGGAGGGAGGAGACGTTTCTGGAGGCAGGCGCCCCCTGCCCAGGGCCAGCCGCTCCCCTGGCGCCCCTCCCCTACACCAGGCGACCGGCCAAAAGAAGCAGAAAAGAAAAACAACCCGGGGGAAAACAAACCAGCCCCCAGGAGGGAGGCGGCAAGAGGTGTGAGCAGGCCAACGACAGGCCCAGAGGACAGGCCCCGTGGTGGGGGCGGCATCAGAGCCCTGCGCCCCAGACGGGACCCCAGCCTGGGGTCCCAGCATGGCCTCCCAGCAGCCTGGCTCAGGAAGAAGGCAAGGAGCCCTTGCAGCGGGCGAGGAGGGGCCTGGGGGTGCCAGGCAGAAACGCAGGGGCCCTTCCCTACCAGTGGCCATTTTCAAATTCATCCTGCTTCAAAACAGAGGCTTTTAGGACCACATGCTCTTTCTTCAAAAACAAACAACATAAAAAGTTAACTCTTTAAGGAAAAACATACACATACAAAATTTGAAACTTAAAAACAGCAGGAAAAGTCGGCCACCCTGAGCGCCACCACAGACCGTTCACTCACCTGCTGCTTTGGCCAGTTTTTCTCACCTGGACACTTTCCCCTCTGTCTAAGCACGTCACACCCAGAAGAGGGCAGCAAGCACAGCACAGTGTGGTTGATGAATTACCAAAGGTGAGCACGCCCACTCATCCAACAGCTTCTAGAAGCCCGCCCCTGCCCGGGGCTCCCGCTCTGCCCGGGTCTCAGCCCACCCCACTACCACGCGGCCTCGTTGGCAGGCCTGGGCGCTGGCCCACGAACCCCAGGGCACAGCCGAGCCACCACGAATGGAACCACAAGGCCTCCTCAGCGTGGAACCGTCGCTCAAGCAGATGCTGCTGGCTTGCACAGTGGCTGCACCAATCCACACGCTGCCGGTGGGGCCTCGGGCTCCCAGGCTTCACGACTGTGCCAGCCGGGTGGTGCTGATGCGCGGCCCGCCGTGCCCGGTCAGGGCTGCCTCCCTGAAAGCTCTCCTTCAGTCTCTGGCACATTCTTCTTGCTGACTTGCAGACACTCTTTGTACATATATACGCAGGACACAGCCCACTGTCGCGTCTGTCCCTCACTTCGAGTCTGTCTCCTTGCTCCTTTAGCTGCAGACATCACTTCCCACCTTTAACTAAACCCAAGGCGGCGATCTTGCTTCTCGTGCAGAGAGGATGCTGGCCCAGCATCAGGACTCCGAGCCCTGCCGTGCCCCCGGAGCTCCCACACCGCCTCGCGGGCGCGGCTGACCCCAACTGAACACGGTCAGCGCCTCCCGTGTCCGGAACGTGCGGGCCTCCTTCCCGCTGTGCACACTCGTGCAGACCCACTGCCCCAGGGCTCTCTGGCCTTCTGCAGGGCTCAAGTGCACCAGGCCCTCCTCAGGGAGCGCCAGGCCGGGGACAGGTGTCACGTGCGGCCTCAGGAGGCCCGCTGAGCGCTCTCCAGAGAGCACTCAGGGCCACCAGGCTGTCCCCCACAGCGTCCGTGAGGAAGCCAGGCACCCTCCCGGGCCCACTGGCCGACTGGAGAACCTCTGCTGCGAAGGGCTGTTTGCCTCTCCTCACCAGTGTACAGGGGCTCTGACAAACGTGGGGAAAGGACCGACGACAGACACATCCGTCTCTCCTCCTCATGCGTGCTGCCCCGGGGGAGGGCACGGCCCTGACTCCAGGTCTGCCCAGCTCGTGGCTTTCCCCCTGCTGTTTCCGGTTAAGGGCTCTCGTCCGCCGACAGGAGGGAGGCCGTCTCCCCAGCAGCACCTCTCCCTCTGGGAGCCAGGATCCCCAGACGCGCCCGTCCCTCTTCTCCCACTCCGCCCCCACCTCCCACATGGCCTCTGTCATCGGCCGAGCACACAGCTGGCCTCCTGGGCCTCTGCTCTGCAGGCCTGCGCCCCCGTCAGGGTGGGCTCCCGCCTGACGAGCCTCGGCCTGGGCCTCAGGACCCCCAGGCCCCCGCCAGAGCGCCAAGGACGCGACTATTCTCAGCACTTGCCTCCCCCGTGTTCCAGCTAGGGTGACAGCTTCCAGAAAAGTCTGCCTGATCACACTGGACCTGCAAGCAGAGCAGAGAGCAGGCGCAGACACCCATGGCCCCAAGCCATGCACACACTTGTCCTGCCAGGGCTCGCAGTGGCCCAGATCCTTGCTGAAATGTCTGATTGCTTTTTTTTGGCCACACTGCAGGACTTGTGGAATCTCAGTCCCCCAACCAGAGATTGAACCCCTGCCCACAGTGGTGAAAGCGTGGAGTCCTAACCACTGGACTGCCAGGGAATTCCCTTTAAATTTTTTTCTATGTTTTTTTTCCAGCAGTGAGGCCTTGCATCTGTTGAATTTACCCAGTGGTATCTGATGTACGCAGTATACTTTAGAAGATGCCACCTCTTGTAGTCACATAAAAACAGACTTTTGTGAATTGCTCTTTAAGTCAGCAGCCTTAGACTTGACAGATAATGGCTGTAGGCTTGTCCTCCAATTCCACTGGGGTTTCCTCTTCCTGTCTGGCTGGATCGGCTTGGATTCCAATACAGGGTGGGACCGGATGAAGAAAGCTGCTACAATTTATCTCATTTCTTAAAGATGTTCTTTAAGGTAGTAACTATGTGGCAAAAAATTGAAACAGCAAAGAACAACCCAAATGAAGTAAGTCTCCGTCCCAAGGGCAGGCTGACCTTTCAGAAATTCTTCCAACCCTGCTTTTATAACAGAGAAGACTCCTGAATCACCAAGCACCAGAATAAACGCCGACACAGTTCTGCCCCACACGCTGGGGGCATTCTTCATACGTTGGGCACGAGCTAATGTGCTCAACGAGCCGGCCGCAGCGTTTGCAGATTTCCAGCTCCCCAGAGGAGCGGCCTGGACCCGCCTGAGCTCTGCGGACCTGCCCGCCGAGGTCTACCTGAGCACCACCTTGGACGCGGCCGGCCCGCTCCTCCCACCGCCTTCTCTGGAGGCGCCAGTGTGCCTCTCACGCGGGGGGTACACAGCACCACCAGGTATGAAATCCCACCAGGCGACAAAACCCGAAGCCGGGGAGGCTCTGGACCGCGGCCCTTCCACACACCTGCCTCCCTGCAGGGCTGGAAGCTGGTGGCAGCTGGTCCAGGGGCCCCAGGGATGAGAGTCGGGTTCTGAGGTCTGAGCCTGTTACGTGCACCACTGGGGTGGAGACAGACTCACACCCACTGCCCACCTCAGGGACCAGAGGCTCTGGAGCTGCCGCGAGCAGACGGAACACAACCACGGCTGCCTGGGCCCAGGCTCTCCAGGGGGACCTGGGACCACCCACTAAACACAGTCGGAGCTGGCTGACTCCCGAGGACCTCATCCTACTTACATTTCGGCGGTGAGGATGGGTAATCGTCTTTGAACAGCATCCGTAGTTTAAACAAGCCACCTTCCCATGGAGTCTGTTGGGCAATAAAACTTGTGATCAGGAGTGCTGGTAGCCAGGCCCAAGAGGGGCAAGGGGCCTGCTCCGGAGTACCCCCAGGACCAGGAGGGCCCCCCGAAGCAGCTCCCCGGGACTCCTGGGGCCTCCATGGCCCCAAGGGCAGATGGAAAGGGCCTTCCCTGGAGGAGCACATGGTCCCGGACCCACAGCAGTGGGTGTGGTGCAGACTCAGGGAGGGGGCTCCCCAGGAGGGACATTCTGAGAAGCCGCCCCCTGAGGCCCACAGGCCCAGGTAGCTTCCCAGCTACACAGTGCGTACCCCCCCACCGCCAGGGCCTACTCCTGCTGCATCTTTATGCCAGCCACCAGGAGGGGTGCAGGAACGAGGCCGTCACCACCCGGGCACCTCAGGGGTCTCCTTCCTTCCACCCCCGAAGCCCACAGAAGCTTCCAATGTGCCAGTTCCAGTGCAGCCAGAGGCACCGAGTGAAGGCCACCAGGGCCATCCCAGGCGGCAGAGATAGCTGCTGGGTCTAAGGATCTGCCAGGGTCCGAGGCTCAAACCCTCTACCCCCAGCCCTAGGAGCACCACTTCAGCCTCAGTGCACCACTCCCCTCAACCCCCCCTCCAGGGCTCCCCCTACTCCCGGACGTCGGGCCCCACGGTGCACTCCCCACCTGCTGCAGCCCAGCTCCTTTCTGAAGGAAGGCTGCCCGGGGGGGCACATGTCACCCTAACCTTGTCCCCTGGCCTGCCTGGGTCCTTCTGAAGGGGCGGTCCCTTACCCCCTTCTTCCCAGGAATGGCGCACTCCCAGTTCATGAGGTTCATTGTGCCGTCAGGGTTCTTTGTCGGGACGGCCACGAAACCCTGCGAGGGAAGAGTACGAGCACATGGGCAGTGGGCCCGCCCGGGACCAGCCCTCCAGCGCAGCCCAGGCCAGCGGTGACCCTCGGGAGCGGGCATTCCAGTCAGGGGACACCGGTGCCCTGCCGCATGCACAAGTAAAGCCTTCCTTACAAACGGGTGGTCTTTTCTCCAAGCTTTCCTCTCCTGGGCGAGTCTGCTGAGGGCGATCCCCGACATGTTCGCGTCCCTGGAAGAGCCGGGCAGAACGTGAGGTGAGCAAAGGTGGCTGCGGGCCCTCTGCCCCTCACCCTGCGCCCGGCCCGGCCTGAGACTTGATTCCGAGGAGCAAGCAAACGAAGGCTCCCAGCGGCCTCACAGGCTCTCTGGGCATGCTTCCGCCTGGGGTCTGCATGGGGGTCATGCCCCCCGGGGTGCCCCCAGCACCCAGTAGCAGCCCTGCCCTCTTTGTCCTGCAACCCCAGCTGGAGCACCAGGGACCCCGATACCACGAGGAGGGGCAGGAGCAAGACGGGGACATCCAGAGGGCCGGTCTGAGACCTGGGGGGTGGGGGGTGGGGCTGTCACTGAGCACAGGGATGTGAGGGTGCTGCCAGAATCCATGCTTGGGCCCGGCCAGGAGGGGAGCCCGTGTTCTGGAAGGTGGCCCTGGGCAGAGGGCAGCTTAACCACAGGAGGGATGGGGCCACACAAGCCCAGCCTCCAGCAAACCCCACCACCAGGCCGTCCCCAGCCCCGCTGCCTGTCCCCTGGACTTTGGGGAAGTCAGCGAAAGGTGCAGTGGGTCCTGTAGCCAGGCTGCTGGGGCCCCTGGCCACTTCTGAATGTCACCCCCCCAGCCCGACCCTCAAGACTGGGCCCATCAGCACGGAGATCCATCGCCTGACGCCATCGGGTCGTGTCCCAGGGCGGCTGACCCCGCGTGCAGGCCAGACCAGGCGCGGGCCCAGGTCAGAACCCCGCGGCCCTCACCGCCCTTCTGCCCACAGGAATCCCCAGAGGCCCCAGAACCTGCTGGGGAATCTGACCCTAAGTGTGTTCGCTGGTCTTAAAGTCCACGGGAACGCTGGAGAGTACCCCGAATCAAGTACCTCCACGAGCATGGCTTTAACCATGCTGAGGGCACGGCCTCCAAGCCGGGCACATCCGCTGGATGGCTGGCTCACCCCACCTCGTGCCTCTGGCAGGGGAGAGGCCCAGCACCTGGAGTCTCCTAGGACAACAAGCCGTGCCTTCCACAGGCAGAAAACAAACTTCTGCCAAAGACAGAACAAGAAGCCGGCCGTGCCTCCCAGTGGTGCTGGCCCTGCCCCAGAGCGGGGGAAAGCCCAGCTCAGAGCTGAGAAACAAAGATCCAGAAAGTAACCTGCCCACTGAGGGCGAAGCCTCAACTCAAACCCACGGCTCTTCCTACTCTGGGTAGAAGGGCCGCTTCTCACCGCGGCCCCCTGGCCCATCATTACTTGGCTCAGGCTGACCCCCAACTTCTCCAGCAAGCCAAATGGCGAGCTTGTCCCAGCACCGGCTGCTGGTGGCCACTCTGGTGTACCCACGTCTGTGCAGGGGAGCAGGGTCAGGTCAGCAGGTCAAGAGCAGAGCAGCAGATCCCGACCCTCGGCGGCTGCTTGTTTCCAAGGCACGTTCCCAGGCCCAGGGGCCCCAAGGAGCCAGAACTCTGCAGGGGTCTGGCTCTTAGACCACTCCCCAATAAGCAAGCATATGGAGGGTGGGGTTGGGATCACCACCACAGATTGCCTCACCCAGGAGCCCACACGGCACGAGGTGGGGTGACTTACTGCAGACACCAGACAACTAGGTGCTGTGAGTTGTCAAAAAACACGGAGACTTGTATCAACACAAGAAAAAGCGAGCATTGAAACTAGCTCCCATGCAGGAGACCTGGTGACGGGAACCACTGCCTGGCTCTGACCACTGAGGACATTCTCTGAAGGTTCTGACCCTGCCCAACCTCAAGATCAAGTCCCAAGCAAGAAGGCCTTAATCCCAAACAAGCCCGCACCCCAAAGAGAACCTCTCTTTGCCACCCCCTACCCTCCAGTCCTGGCCTGCCCACTTCCTCCTCATCCGTGGACCCTATGGACAGGACCCCATCTGGGGGCTCCTTCCCTACAGAGGCACATCTATCTGGTATTTTCATTCATTCATGCAACCTAAGTTGAAGAACCCAAGCGCGGCTGCCCGAAGGCTGATGTGGGTGTGCTGGTGCCCCTGGGTCCTGGTGGTGGTTGGCTGGCCACCTGGGCACTGCCTGCAGCACCGGGCTCAGTTCAGAAACAGGACAGAGTGGGAGGCGCTGGGATCACTTCCCTCTGGCGGAGAGCCGGCAGAGCAGAGGGGAGCGCCGGCCAGCTTTTGTCTTTAAGGTCCTCTCTGGTTAGAGGTGAGGGCAGAAATCCTGAAGTCTGAAAACCCTTCACTTCGTATGACCCTTCTGAACAGAACTCACCCCTACCTCATCCCCAGAGCCGATGGGAATGTCTCCCCCACCCCACGGGGCTTAGGGATGTGCAAGATGTCCTACACGAGCCCCTCACGGGTCAGGGCAGAGCACAGGGCATGGGGTGAGGCCACCTCTGAACTGTCCCACACGGAAGCTCAGCGGCAGAGAGAAGCAGCCTGGCTTTCCATGCAGTGAGAGGTTCCTGTTGAGTCTGCGCTCAGCACAGAGTCAAGACTGGTTCCTGGAGCCGGGGTGGCACACGGGTTCTGGAATGGGCAAGCTGGCACTTGAGGGCTCTGGAGCGAGAGGGCTGGGCCAGAACGTAGAAGAGGCCGGCAGGGTGATCCTGAGTGCCGCATGCCTGCTGACCGCATGCCAGGACCCTGCCACAGGTCACCTCTTCTGCTGACAAGGAACAAAGCTGTCTCAGCAGACCCGGTCGGGGTGCCAGCTGTGATTATCTCAGGTGCAAAAGGTAACGGGGGGGGGTCCCACAAGAGCTGCTGCAACCCCGTCCTTGGGGGTGACAACCAAACCGGGCACCAGAAAGATGGATGCTGCAGCCAGAGCAGAGTCACAGGCGCACACCTGCACCCGCTCAGAGAGAGGCCGGCCTCTCGCTCCCCAGGAGAAAGCAGCCAATTTGCTACATTTTAATTACAACAGGGAACCACTCCTTCAGCATCCCACTTAGAATCAAATCAGCTTTTCCCAACTGACAGGGAGGCACTTAAGGAGCTGTTAAGTGTTAGGAGAGTCTTCAGAGCAGCAAAATCACTAAGAGGCAAAGATCGGATATCCATAACCTGCTAGAGACAGCCTGCAGCACAGGATCCGGGTCTGGGGCAGACCCTTGAAGTCTGCAGCCATCCTTTTCCAGCGTGGGCTGTGCTTGAACCCACTCTTCTCAGATCAAGCTCTGGTAGCCTACAGCACTGTGAAGCCACTTACTGGCTGCAGGTGAGGGCCAGCGGCGTCCCCCTCCCACCTCGACCTTCTCACCAGTATGGGTGATAGCACTCTGAGCCAGAGGTCAGCCCAGGGTGAAACAGACGAAGGCTCGCGGCCCTGGGTGGGCTTTCCCACCCAACCGCAAACTCGCCAGGGGAAGGCAGGCACTGGCTTCACCTGCGCTCAGGAGCCCCTACAGCCCAGGTGCACTTCCCTGGTCTTTCCTGACACGCCCCCCAGGACGCCCAGCTGTTTCCAAAGCAAGCCCGGAACCCCCAGCGAGACTCACGTGCAGCACGATGCAGAATTCACCCCCAACCCACCCGAAAACTCAAAAGCAAGTCAGGACAAACGTGGGATCCTTCTCTCCCTGCTGCTGGGCAGGTTCTCCGTCCAAAGGCAGGGTTTCCTTGGGAGTAAAGAAACACAGAAGACCACGGGCTTAAGAGCAGACCAACGAAAGCCAATTCCGCAAACACAGAGGAGTAACTCTGCGAATGGAGCTTGTTTTCAGACTATACAAACCAAACCAGTTACTTCTGTGATTCAGGGACAGCTGCTGGCCGCTACCATCAGCCCAGCTAATCATTCCCTCGCCTTTCTTTTTCTCGCGAAAACTACCAGCTCCAGCCTCCGTGCAACTGGTACAAATCGGTCTTGGGACGAGATCTCCCCGGCAAGGGAAGCGCGAACACTCGATGGGTCCCCCCAACGGCAAGCGGAGCTCGGAGGCGCAAGAGCCCTAGCTTGTTTTCGTTTCCAGGCATCACACGCCACCCCCAAACGCGCCAGCGCTCCTGCAGCGCGCAGCTTTGCACTCTTTGTGCCGCGCGTCCTCTCCCCGGCTGGAACGCGCCACAGGTTCGCGCGCAGACCGTGACCCCGGAAACGCTCCGCCTGAGCGGAGGGCTCGGCGCTCCTGTCAGCGCGGCCCGAGCCGATCGCGCCGTCTGCCGCCCCGGACGCGACTCTCCCCGAGCGGGCGCCCGGGGGAGAGGACGCCCCCACCTCGCGGGCCGAGACCAAGGCGGGCTGGGGGCCGGGCCGCCCGAGGGGAGCCCGGCGGGCTGGCCCCCGCCGCGGCGTCAGCAGCCCGGGGCGGGCCGGTCTCCGGGAACGGGCCGGGCCGCGAGTGGAGGGCGCCTGCCCGGCCGGGCCCGCCGGCGGCGGAGGCCCGGGCCCCCGCGCCCGCCCCGCGGCGCTCACCTCGGGCGGCCCGGCCCGGCGAGCGAGGCGTACTAGGCGGCGGCGGCGGCGGCGGCGCTCCCTTTGTCTCGGGACTTCCCTCCCGAGCCCGCTCCGCGCGCAGCCCGAGCGCTCGAGGACCCCGGCGCGGGCGGGGCGGGGCGGGGCCTGCGGGGCCTGCCCGCCGCGCGCCTGCCTCGCACCACGCCGCCGCCGCCGCCAGCCCCGCGCCGCCCGCGACACCGATCGCCGCCCGCGGCCCGCGTTCCTCCGCCGCGCGCCCGCGCCCCGGGCCCGGCTCGGGAGCACGGCCCGGGGGCGGCTTTCCAGTCAGGCAGCGACATGGACACCTGCGTCCTTAAAGGGGCCGCGTCCCGGGTGTGAGGGAGCGTCTGCAAACTCCCCTTCGCGGGGCACTGTTCCTCGCGAGGACGGGCCGGCGAGCGGCGGGAAAGCAGGGCGGTCGAGATCTCCCGGGGCTCTCCGGATGTCCCGCGGGCACCTTCCCGGACAGCGGTCCTGGAGGTCTCCTTGAGGCTAGGGCCCGGGGCGGTAGAGCAACGACCACTGAGGCCTAGGGATCCCCAAGCGTCGCAGCACGGTGACAATCCCTCTCCTACAGCACGCTGTGAAACCCCTTGCAATTGGCCGTCTCGGGGCCCTGGGCGGGGCATCCATCTAATGTGCCCAATGAGCAGGCCCCGTACACAAGACCAAGTGCGGGCCCGACCGACGGGAGGAGAAATGCAGACGCTCCCTAACCCAGGGGTTGGCCTGGGGGGAGGGGCGCAGGGGGTCCGGGCGGGTGGGGGAGGAGCGGGGGCAGCGCCGGGCCCCCTGGCCGGAGTCTCAGGTCCGCTCTGAACCCGTGCGCGAACGCCCGTCCATTCCGGCCATGCTGGGCGCCTCCCCGTCGGGCGGCCCCCGACCCCCGTCCCCTGGCCCAGGGTGGGAAAGAGGGAGCATTCTAAGGTCAGCCCCCTCCGCCCGTGGGCGCTTTGGGTTCAAGTGGCGGATGGTGACTCCGGCTTGCATTCATTCACGCCTTCGCCCTGGGTCGCCTCCTTCCTCCGTTTCCTTCCATCCTCCCCACCCCCACCCCCGGCAGCCCCCTATTTGGCACTGTACTGAGACTGTTGGTCTCCATGGCAGACCCCTCCCCCCCACCCCCGCCAAGGCTGGTGTCCCAAGGCCCATGTCTGGCCCAGAGCTCTCTCAGCAGATATTCAGCGCAGTGAGGATGGTCACTAGACTTGAGAAGGCCCCGGGCCGGGGGTGGGGTTGGGGTGGGGGCCTCTCCTGGGTCTGGTAGCTCCGCTGGACTGGGGAGGTAGTCTGTCTAGGGTACCTCTGGGTCAGCCGTGGCCCAGAGGGCCTGGTTATAGTGCCTGGGGTCCCAGGTAACGAAGACCAGAGGGCCCAGACCCCTTGAGCAGCAGGTGAGCATTCCAGGTCTCTCTGAGGCTCTGAAGTCCAAAGGGGTTGCCTGCTCCTGTGTCCCCACAGTGACCCAGCGTGGGCCTGTTCTGGGACACTGCCTCCCCTGTCTCTTCACTGTGGCAAATGCCAGGATCAGGGGCTTATCTGAGACATCTGTTCTCTGGGTCCCCAGACTTGGTTCGCTGGCTCTGAGTAGAAGTGTGCATTTTAACAAGTGTCCCACGTGGGCCTGCAATGCAGCACTTGACCACTGAGCTAGTTTTAAGAACCCCAGGAGCATGGGCTCAGTGCCAGCACCATCTTTCTTGTGAGGGTACCTGGAGGTTTGCACAGGGCTGCAGGGGGAAGTCACCCACCCAGACCAGTAACATTTGCCAGTGAAAAGTGGTGGCCATTGCTGGGGGAGGACCCTGGTGGACTGCGCCTGGTCATGTGCCCACTGTGGGGGTAAGGGGTAGTAGGTGTGATTGGCAGCTGCCTAGAGTAGGGGTAGCACCGCTAGCTCCCTCAGGTGGCTGTTGGGGGTCAGGCCGAGGGAGGTCTATGTGCAGGGGCTGCTGCTCCAGGGGCTGAGTTAAAAAGGAAGAAAATCCACATGCAACAGAATGAAATTAGACCCCTACCTCACACTACATACAGAACCAACTCAAAGACATAAACAGAAGTGCTCAAACTATAAAACTCTTAGAAGAAGGCGGAAAAATCTTTATGAGACTGGATTTGGCAATTATTTCTTGGATGTGACACCAAAAGCACAGGCAGCTAAAAAGGGAAAAATAAATGATTCAAACGTCAAGATTGTGCATCAGAGGACATTATTACCAGGGTGAAATGGTGACCCATAGAATAGGAGAAAATACAGATTACATATCTGATAAGGGGTTAGCATTTAAAATACATAAAGAACGCCTACAACTCAACATCAACAGAACAAACCCAGTTCAAAATTGGACAAAGGGTCTGAAAAGACTTTTCTCCAAAGAAGACATACAAATGGCCAATGAACACGTGAAAAGATGCTCAACACCACTAGTCACTAAAGAAATGCAAATTAAGGAGCATTGGCTGGAATATGGAGAAGCCTTGTGTGAGATGGTGGTTACATAAAACGTTTTCTGTGGTTACATAAAATGTTTTTGGTTCAATTGCCATGGAAAAATCTGGAAGGTGGGAAGGTCCAGGGCTTGCAAGGACTGCATCTGTCTCCCTGAGCTTGGGAACTGTCCTCAGAGAACCAAACTTCTGGACTTCCCACTCTGGGGGTATCTGTGGGTTGCAAAGCGTACTGGGGAGGCATAGGATGGGTGCCCACGGACTGGGAAAGGGTGGGTCTTTATTTATGCTCCCATGTGTCCTGCAGAGAGCTGAACCACCAATGTGAGAAATATTTTACTGTCATGAGCCTTTCTGCAAGTGGAGGATAATGTCACCTGGGGCAGCTGGACATTGCTCTCAGTGGAGAAAGAACATGGCCCCAACAGAGCCTGGCTCTCCTCCCACATGAAACAGACAGAGGATGTGAGGTGGGGGTACCTTCCCACCTGGTCACAGGTTCATTCACTCCCTGCCTGGTCACTGAGCCCGGGGCTAAGAAAGGATTGGTTGGTTTTTATCTTAAGATGGGAGAACATGTTTGCTGGTACAAGACAGTGAGAGAGAAAGGGTGCTCAGGGGTGAGCTGGGCACGCCCCGGAGGGTCCGGGCTCCCACGACCTGAAGGGGGCACGCCTGCAAACGTTTTCAGAGCCCTCCCCTCCGCATGAGCCGTGGTTCAGCGTCTCCACCTGGCACCCTATCAGACTCAGCCCCCCACATCTCAGTAGGCATTCCAAGGACGCCAGAGTCGCTGGCCACGTCAAGTCCCCTGCACTCGGCCCTCCCCTCCCCGCACTCAGCCAGCTCTGCCTCAAGGGTGAGGCTGAGGCCCGGGCCGCTGCTGCACCCCTGCTCCCCTCCCTTCCCCTCCCCCAGCACCGCTGCCAGGCCTTCCCCTCCTGCGTCCCCTCCTGCCTGCTCTAAGTCCCAGCCCCCTCGCGGTCCTCTCCCAGCGTCAGAGGGCCGACCTCGCAGGATCTACAGGCCTCGATTCGGGGGCGCTCCCCTGCAACCTGCGCCCAGCTTAGGGGAGGAGCTTTCAGGGTGCCAGGCGGGAGACCGGCGGCGCTCACCTAGCTCGGCGGGCGGCGATGTGACCGCGGCGCCTCGCCCAGAGCTCGGCCGCCAGGTGGCAGCAAAGCGCCGCCGCCGCCCCAGCTCGGCAGCCGCCGCGGCAGGTAAGGCAGGTTCGACCCCGGCCCGCCGCATTGCGCGGCCAGACTAGACCAGTCTTGTGTTTGCGCACTCAGCAGCTGCTGAAAAGAGGCTTCCTACACAGCTGGATAAGGGGTGTCCCTGTGCCTTGCACCTAAAGAAATAACAGTGCAAACTCAACCACGCTCTGAGTTTGAAGCCTGATGGCCTTACCTGACCAGAACCTGCCCAGATTCTGGCCTCACCTGTCCTTTCTTATTAAAGTGGGCTGGGGATGGGAGAGAACAAGGATGCCAGGATGTGGAGAGGTGCTGAAGTAACCACAGCGGCTCAAAGGCAAGCCTTTCTCTTGGCTTTAAACTGAGGGATTCTACAAGCAGCTGGCATCTCTTCTTCATCCTGTAATTTGATGTGTCCTTAATGCAGGCTCCTTGAGCCTGGGAACTCTGTGGGCGCGTGTTCTCTGTCCCCACTCTGAGTGATGTGCTTAGAGCCAACACCAGCATGCTCCGAGGCCACTGTGACACATCCCTCCCAGCTTTCTGGAGCTCAGACTCCACGTCCCGGACTCCAGGCCCCAGTGGCGCTCAGGACCAAGAGTGTGTGTCCCTGAAGCTGCCTGGGGTCTCTGTCCCTGGAAGCCTGTCCTCGAGTAGGGAGACAGTCTCAAAGGGCTGGTGACAGAGCCCTGGGGCAGGCGGGCAGCCCGCCTCCTTCCCTGTGCAGCCCGCCACCCATATCCAGGGCCTCTGCCAGGCTCACAGCCTGGGCCCTGCCCGCAGCTCTCTGCCTGGCAGGGCTTGTGGGGCTCGAGCAGAGGAGCCTGTGGAGGACTGGAGCTGGATGGTGGAGGCCGCTTGTCAAGGAGCCAGAGCAGCGGGGAGAGGGTGGCTGTAAGGTCAGGTGATAAGGGGGTGGCCCTCCCCTGCAGGTTGGGTTTAACACGGGAAGCTCCTTGCTATGTGACCCAGCACCCCACCTCTTAGGCGAACATGCAGAAGAACTGAATCCAGGTATTCACACTGAAACCTGTCCACGTGTGTCCACAGCATCCCTGTTCATGGCAGGCAAGGAACAGGAGCAACCCACAGGCTCCTCAGGGGAGGACGGGTCAGCAGACCCTTCCATCCAGACAGCATGGTGTCCGGCCCACACCCCACACCACGTGGACATACTGGTAACGTGCTGAGCGAGCGAGGGAGGCCAGACGCTGAAGACCATAGAGCTTGTCTCCACCCATACGAGATGTTCAGAATAAGGAAGGCCACAGGCAGACGGAAAGTGGATGGGTGGTCACCCGGGCCAGGGGCGGTACGGGGAGGAATGGGGAGTTGTGCCTTCATGGGGATGGGTTTCCTTTCGTGCCTTGGAAATGTTCTGGAATCAGAAAGAGGTGGGAGTCGAATAACATTGTGAATGTACTAAATGCCACTGAATCCTTCACTTTAAATGGTTACAACAGCACTTTCGTAGTTTATGTGTGCTTTACAATAATCATGGTGATAATGTTCTGAAATCTTGCCTTCTGGTAACCCCTCAGTCCAGACGGGTCAGGACGGCACGTCACCACCACACATGGACCAGGCCGGAGCAGGCGTGGAGGTCCATGGGCATCTGGGCAGAGCACAAGCACCACACCAATGAGACAAACAACCAAACCTGAAAAGCTGGTTGTCTAAGGAAGACCAGAGGCCAGTGATTCACAGCAGAGAAACGAGATCAGGGGAAACAGAGGGGAAACCGCCCAGGAGTAGCCGGGCCCTTGGGGGTGAGGCCGCCAGGCAGGACCTGATGAGTGCCCCCCCGCCAAGGTTCTGGGTCTGATGGGCCTCAGCCTTGCAGGGAGGGTGTGTGAGCAGGAGAGTTTGTGTGCAGTTCTGTTTATGACGAGTAACAATGCTTTCTGTTCCTATACAGTGCTATGGTTGTTGTTTTTAATCTGGATCTTAGTTAAACATTTGAACAAATTTAAGGACAAAACGTGGAGCAGAGATGGGGGAGGGTTGGGACCCCAGAAACAGAGGTCTTTGCTCCTTGCCTCTGCATCCTGCCAGGCGCCCTCCCCTGGGCACTTTTCCATTGGCATCTGGGGGTTGCAAACTGTGTCCGCTCCATCCCTGGCCCCTGCCCACCACGGCCCCAGGAGGCCAGAGACAAATAGGAGACATGGCCCTGCCCCTAAGGACTCCCGGGACACCTGGTGCTCTGGGGGAAATGGCTGGACAGGGGCTGGGCTTAACGCTGAGCTGTGGGGACCCCTCCCAGGGCACTGGGCCCTGAGCTCAGAGTGATGCCAGCAGGTGGGTTGTGGTGGGGGGACAAGGAAACGAGCTTCCACAGAGATCATGGGGCCCTGACCACCACCCACTGACCATTGCTGCCAAGTCTCCAAGCCAGGCTTCAACAGTATGTGAACCGTGAACTTCCAGATGTTCAAACTGGGTTTAGAAAAAGCAGGGGAACCAGAGATCAAATTGCCAACATCCGTTGGATCATTGAAAAAGCAACAGAATTCCAGAAAAACATCTGCTTCATCGACTATGGTAAAGACTTCGACTGTGTGGATCACAACAAACTGTGGAAAATTCTTAAAGAGATGGGAATAACAGACTACCTGACCTGCCTCAGGAGAAATCTGCGTGCAGGTCAAGAAGCAACAGTTAGAACCAGAGATGGAAAAATGGACTGGTTCCAAATTGGGAAAGGAGTACATCAAGGCTGTCTATTGTCACCGTGCTTATTTAACTTATATAGAGAGTACATCATGCAGAATGCTGGGCTGGATGAAGCATGAGCTGGAATCAAGACTGCTGGGAGAAATATGAATAACTTCAGATATGCAGATGACACCACCCTTTTGGCAGAAAGCTAAGAGGAGCTAAAGAGACTCTTGATGAAAGTGAAAGAGAAGAGTGAAAAAGCTGGCTTAAAACTCAACATTCAAAAAGCTAAGATCACGGCATCTGGTCCCATCACTTCATGGCAAATAGATGGGGAAACAATGAAAACAGTGAGAGATTTTATTTCCTTGGGCTCCAAAATCACTGCAGATGGTAACTGCAGCCATGAAATTAAAAGATGCTTGCTCCTGGGAAGAAAAGCTGTGACAAACCTAGACAGTATATTAAAAAGCAGAGACATTACTTTGCCAACAAAGGTCCATCTAGTCAAAGCTACGGTTTTTCCAGTAGTCATGTATGGATGTGAGAGTTGGACCATAAAGAAGGCTGAGTACCAAAGAATTGATGCTTTTGAACTGTGGTGTTGAAGACTCTTGAGAATCCCTTGGACTGCAAGGAGATCAAACCAGTCCATCCTAAAGGAGATCAGTTCTGAATAGTCATCCGACAGATTGATGATGAAGTTGAAACTCCAATACTTTGGCCACCTGATCCAAAGAACTGACTCATTTGAAAAGACCCTGATGCTGGGAAAGATTGGGGGCAGGAGGAGAAGGGGACGATAGAGGATGAGATGGTTGGATGCCATCACCAACTCGATAGACATGAGTTTGAGGAAGCTCTGGGATTTGGTGATGGACAGGGAGGCCTGGCGTGCTGCAGTCCATCGGGTCACAAAGAGTCAGACATGACTGAGCAACTGAACTGTACTGAACTGAAGATGCTTTAAATGATGGGCCTGCTGTTACTCCTTGTGGCCACATAGTGGTGCCCAGGCCAGCAGGAGAGAGGAGGAGGGTGACCAGGGACTCGAGAGGAGAAAAGAGATTTAGGTTATGTAGCTCCACCTCTGCATGCATGGTTCTTGTGGACACTTGTTATGGCGAAGAATGTTGCTGGTTGGTCTGTGCACTTGACCTCCAGCAGCCTGGTGAGTCAGCACATCTCCCTCCGCCGTTCCTGCCTCCCTCTGTCTCCTGCGTCCAGTGTTCAAATGCTTGCCTATCAGACACGGTCACGACACTGTAGCCTCTTTCTTCGCCTCCGAGTTGATGCCAGTTACTTGCAGCTGCTTGGCTGTCCCTGTGGCCGGGGTTTAGGGGGTGAGCGCTGAAAGCCGGCGGGCCCTCTGCTGTGTGTTTGGAGCTCCGTCCGCACGGCGACAACATTACATGCTGGCTGCCCCCTGCTCTGTGCCGTGGCCACCCTCCCCTAAATTTCCCTCCAGACATGCTCGGGAAAACAACCGGATTTGCCTGCAGTTCACGTCACGGTGGAATTTTGAAGGGTTGATATTTGATGACAGCCACCTCAAATGGCATTTTGTCCCACTTCTCAGGAGAGTTTTGCAGTCATCACAGACCCACGAACATTGCTCGTGTAGCTATCAGAGGGGATGGGGGCGCCGATGCGGCTCTAGACTGGCCCCTCCCCCAGTCATCCCTGGGAGGCAGGGATGACTTTCTTTCTCTACTTATTTGTGTTTAAAATATTTATCTTGCATCTCAACACTTTAAGAAATTTAATTTAAAAACCTCTTCAGTTGAAGCTTTTGGCTTTTCCGAGAAGAAAATCACATTATCTGCCAATAATAGTCAGGAGGCTTTTCCCCATGAACCTCAAACCTCTTGTTTCTGGTTCTGGCAGATCCGATGGCCATGTTCAGACCCTGTCTTTGCCCCCAGTGTCCTTCCTCCGGGTTCTTTTCGGAAGCGGTGGCCCCCTCTCTCTCCCTGGCTCCACTCCAGCTCATTTCACCTGATCTGGCCTGGGGGGTCGGGAAGTCTTGGCCCTGGGGGCCCAGGGCTCCTGGCTGTCACCTCTGTGATGCGTCCCGTCAGTTGGACCCTGGGGACCAGCTCCACAGCTACACCCACCGCCGTGGGTGGATGGACGGTGGGGGGTCGGGAGGAGCTTGTGCCCAGGGCCTGTAGGACCCCTCCCCTCCTGTGTGCAGACTCTCTCCCCCTGATGGCGCCCTGGCCACTTTGGATCTGGGTTGTCCTCTGTAGAGGCCTGAGCATCTCCTGGGGTTCTGGGCTCCCTGTAGGAGCAGGAAGGATGCTGGTACTCTGCCCTCAGAGGGAGTGCTGGGTCCCTGGAGACCTGAGCTCGCCGAGTGCGGTGCTGTGACCAGAGGGGAACCTGGCTCCA